ACAAGGAGACAAGCTATGTTTGTATAATCACAGGATGACCAAAGGGAAGTCTCCTAAGTTGTCTTCTCCATGGGAAGGTCCATATGACATAGTGGATCGTCTCTCAGACATGAATTTCCGGATAAAATGTGGTCGGCGAGGTAAGCCAAAGGTGTTGCATGTCAACAGGCTTTGGCATTATCACAGTCCAGGACATTTCAGTTGGAACGAAATGAACAACAGAACAAATGATGCTACTGAAGACGTGTCACCTGAAAAAGCCACTGTCGAAGAAGAAACTTGACACGGTTTTGAGAAGGGAAACAGTGAAGCCCTTGATAAAGTTACTACCACTGATGTGACTATTACCGATAATAGGACATTTCCTGATGGAGCAGGTGAACTTTATGTGAAGCAGAAGCCAACGAGACAGAGACCAGTACGGAAGAAGATACGTCCCGTAAAATTAAGGGACTTTGTTGAATTTTAATTTTGTGTTTGTAAATTCTGTACATTTAATAAAGTTATTGCTAATTAGCTATTGGTTTAATTTAAGTGGCTATTGTTCGGGACCAACAATACTAAGGAAGGGGCAGTGTCACGACAGAGGAAGTCACGTGATTCTGATAACAGGTGATGAGTTTCTAGAAGCATCGGGGAACATCACGAATAATCCAGTATTTGCTAGATGCCTTCTATTCCTGTTCATAAGAGCGCCAGATAAAGCGAGACAATTAATCGAAACTGGAATAGCAGACAGAAAGATTGAAGATATAGGTGGATAATCGAGTCAAGCCTTAGGTAAAGTGTGTGAATCATTGTGAATTATAGCGTATGTTTAAGTTAAAGTGACTATGAAAATTAAATGTATTCCAAAGTTGTATTAAGAAGATTAAACTAGTTTTATTTAAGAAAGGACTTATATCGCTGAAGTTTTTCAGAAAAGAAATTTTTACGGGTAATTAACAAACGACCAAAAACGTCCCAGACCATTTGGAGATTGGTGTTTTAAGATATTTTACCAGACCATTTGGAGATTGGTACTTTAAGAAATTGTCCCCAGTTATGCAAATAGAAGCAACTGGCACATGTTGTTAACAAAATAACACAGATATCTTTACAACAAGCTTTTTATTTTTGGTTGATTGTTGTAAAAAAGTTTTAATCAGGAAATGAAATAGTGAAAAATGTCAAGATACTATCTTACCTTTTTACCCAATAAAAAGTCGCTTTCGGGCATTATAAAAAGCTTTGACCTTTGACTAAATTTAACAAAACAACAACTTAGTTTGTGTCTTGTTTCTTATAGCCGGGTGTATCCTAGTGGTTAGCATTCAAGGCTACAAACATCAAGATTTAAGGTTCGAGCTGCTATATATTGCTGAATGTGTTCCATACTTTCAGCTATGTAGACGTTATAAATCAATTCCACTAGTGGGTGGATGGTGTTCTTAACGTTATAAGTCAATCCAAAAGTAGGTGGATGGTGTTCCTAACGTTATAAGTCAATCCCACTAGTAGGTGGATGATGTTCCTAACGTTATAAGTAAATTCCACTAGTAGGTGCATAGTGTTCTTAACGTTATAAGTCAATTCCACTAGTAGGTGGATGGTGTTCCTAACTTTATAAGTCAATTCCACTAGTAGGTGGGTGGTGTTCCTAACGTTATAAGTCAATTCCACTAGTAGGTACATAGTGTTCTTAACGTTATAAGTCAATTTTACTAGTAGGTGGATGGTGTTCTTAACGTTATAAGTCAATTCCAATAGTAGGGGGATGATGTTCCTAACGTTATAAGTCAACTCTACTAGTAGATGGATGGTGTTTCTAACTTGTTGTCCTTCTACTGAAGGGCAGTTCTAAACTAGAGGTGGCTTTGCTTGAGACTTTGGGGTTCTCTGACCTAGCCGTTCAATACATCTGTTGAAACTTGGGGTTTCTGACCTAGCCATTCAACACATCTGTTGAAACTTGGGGTCTCTGTCCTCGTGCAACACATCTGATGAAACTTGGGGTTTCTGACCTAGCCGTTCAACACATCCATTGAAACTTTGGGGGAAGGTCTGACCTAATCATTTCACACATCTATTGAAACTTGGGGTCTCTGACCTAGCCATTCAACACATCTGTTGAAACTTGGGTTTTCTGACCTAGCCGTCCAACACATCTGTTGAAACTCTGGGGGGAAGGTCTGACCTAATCATTTAACACAGCTATTGAAACTTGGGGTCTCTGACCTAGCCTTTCAACACATCTGTTGAAACTTGGGGTCTCTGGCATAGTTGTTCAACACATCTGTTGAAGCTTGGAGGGTCTGTTGCGTAAGGTTCAAGTTTACAATTCTCTTCGTTGTCTGTATGATGTATGAAACAAACGTTCAAGTCGTTGTCTGTACGATATATGAAACACACATTCAAGTCGTTGTCTGTACGATATATGAAACACACGTTCAAGTTTACAATTATAGCCGTTGTCAATATGATATATGGAACACACGTTCAAGTCGTTGTCTGTACGATATACGAAACACACTTTCAAGTTTACAATTATAGTGGTTGTCAATACGATATATGGAACACACATTCAAGTCGTTGTCTGTACGATATATGAAACACACGTTCAAGTTTACAGTTATAGTCGTTGTCAATACGATATATGGAACACACGTTCAAGTCGTTGTCTGTACGATATATGAAACACACGAATAATAAATGGGATTAAATATGTGGCAATTGGATATGAATTGTTGCCATGGTTACCAGTTTATACGGTTACCTAAGTCTAACTATTAACTAAATTGTATTTAGTACTAATCAGTGGTGGGATTCAAATATTTTAACAACAGGTTCTCTCACTAGCAGCATGTAAAAATATTAGATATTAAAAAAAGGAGGGGCCAGAAAGCCCCCCCCCATCACTGAGAAAATAAAAAAAGGCCGTCACGGATAGTGTTAAAGATTCTTTAGAAACTTTCGAGTAAAAAGTGTTT